CCCCACCCAAAAAAATTACGATAACCCCCTATGCTATAGCCCAATTGCAAATAGACCCTCTGTAATTCTATTATTGTGTGTAGACCTCCTGTAGTCTATTATTGCGCACAGACCCCCTATACTATCTCTCAATTTTGGATACACCCCTAAATGAAATTACTTATCTTTTATCCTTGAGAGGACTATTTGCAAAAAAAAAAAAAAAATCTCTTTCTCTTCGAGTAAAAGAGTGAAAAAAAAAAGTTCCCTGAGGGGTTTTATCTGCAACAATAGAAGGAGGTGCCTCAATATCTGAAATTAACTCCAATTATATTGGCCTTTTGGAAGAAAGTTCTGAGAGAAGTGTAGCATAATGTAGTGGATGTGTGGAAATGGGCACGTAGAGTCACGGGTAAGTTCCTTTTACAAGGTGGGTTTTGCTCATCTCATATATACCCCTCATTTTGGGTCTCTTCATGCATTCTCTATTCATTCCCACATACATCTTTGGATAAAAAGGTAGAATGTCACTAACAGGTTGAGGATTTTGGAGGTTGCCCATTTCCTTCACATGTTTTTTTTTAATGTGGCCCCCCTCCCCTTTACTTATTCCTCTCATCCCCACCCTTTTTTTCTCAAGGCTTTTTAGCTAGCTTTGGATGTCTTGGAATATTCCCATGGTAACCAGTACATCACATCACTTCCTCTCTCTAGGTTACCTATGCTACCATGTTCAATTGCCTAACACTGAAACTTACCCCTTAAATGAGAAGTGTTTGTGGAAGCCTAATAATAGACATTAGTTATGCAACTAATACTTGTCAGAAAGAACAATGCAGCAGGATACAATTAAAAATACCAGATAGATTCCACATCTAATTCATTGTTCATGATTCTCTTAAACTTGAGGGCTAATTGCACATAGATCACCTGTAATATCACATCTTGGAACGTATTGACCGCGTAGTTTTATTTGGCAGATAGACCATGTGGATGGATTTGTACTTTTTAACCCTCACACAGACTTGCTAGTTTCAACTAGGGTAATATCTGCCAAAAAAGTGCTTCCGCAGGATCTATCTGCCAAATCGAATGGGCAATAATAAGTTCCAAATTGCAATACTACGTGAGGTCTATGTGCAACAAACGGTAAAATAAATATCTCATAGTATCAAGTTATTTTCCATCATTCTCAGCGTGCATATCAGTCTACAAACACTTTTCAAGCTTTGAAGCATTTGAATGTCAGAAATGGATCTCTCTCACTTATACGTGACAGAAATGACGGATAGATCCTCAGAATCTTTCAAGTGTTTTTATATCAAAACCCCATCAAGGTAGCCCGGATTCGAGAAGAAAGCCTAGAGGCTATAGCAAACACATACATTCCCTAGGTCACTAGCCACTTGCAGGCAGGCAACAAGGAGTGAACAAGAACAATTGCATGGTACGTCAGAGGTCATAATTCCCTTCTTACAAAGTCAGGAGTTGCAAACTAGAACAGCATTGCTCCTGAAAACCGATACATAAGTCTTATCCACTCAGCCACAAAGTTTGAAACCACCATTGTTGCATCTATTATACGGCAACAAGGCCATCTCCCCTTGAGTTCATCATTTCTACAAATTTTGGTATGCCAGTGTGCCACTGATTCCCTTAAAATAATTTCCACTAGATTGCACCACAAAGTTAAACGAGGACCACACTAAGATTACAACGATAAGGTGGTCCATTTCCTCGTTGCATGTTGATCCAGAGGGCTAAACTTGCACAAAATGGCAACACTAGGGAATGATTAAGCTTTCTTTAATCTTCCATATGAACATATCAACTTGCCACTCAAATCCAGGAATCAACTAATAAGTACAATACACGGGAAGGTTCATCCCTGTCACCTGTTAATCCCTGGCAACTCTATGGTTGCCATTTGTGGCATCCCTCATAATAAAGCACTCGATGCACAGGGAAAAATCTAGACGCCTACAAGTAAAAACTGTATTAGAGAATTCATATTAAAATTATGTTTGATCAAAATGTTTCAAGGGTGACTCAGGAACCTTCACTTGTGTAATAATATGGTTAAAAATTATAATATATGTCTAGATGAAGGCAGCCTGCAATAATATAAGGCCACAGAGAGTGTTAGGGGAAAGTGCAGAAAGGCAACAATGGCTTTATCTCTAGTGCCTAAAGAACTTTGGTGGGTGAGCTTTAGAGATTCTCCTTGCTTCTAAAGGCGAGAAGAATGTAGGGTGTGTAAAGCTGCACAATTACATACCAGAACTTAAAGAAGAACAGAAATGAGGGAATCTCAGCATAACATAAAGTTTTTAAAAGGAGACCAAGCTACTTTTAGAGCATAGGCAACACCCACTCACAGGGGTATTGGTCTGTTAGTAATTTTATAAAAACATATTCTAAGTAGAAGGGTGGTCGGATTCTGATAAATTCTATGAAATTGGACCGGCTTGATGCCCAGAATCAGATCTGAAAAGTTCTTCTAATTTTCAAGAAACAGGAAGCTATCACTCATGCATTGAAGTTCCTAATTCTAGGGAGCGAATCACAAGAAATCTTCTATCGTTTGCAAAAATTGCAAAGCTTTTAAAATCTCATAGAAAGAAATGCTGAGAGTTCATGGAATATAGAAAATTTGCTGTAAGCATATGGCAAACATTTACCATCAAACACATATATAAGTTTAGTCCTTGGCTGTTAGGTTCAGAGATGGATGGGTACAAAACTCAAACACAAGGTTGTTAAGCTTATGGTCGATTCCTGAGATTAGACCGTCTTGTTTTCTGATAAACCAAAGCCGTGGAGTTGGAACTTTATTAGATACATTCCCCTCTTTGAGGTGATAATGGAACCTGCCATCTATCAAATGCATGATCGACTAATTGATTCTGCAAATGAAGAATCCTGGAAACAAAAAAGACTACACTCCGAATATGCAAATGCCTGAAATGGCTCTGGCATATTACAAAGAGCTAGCCATTACAAGTTCATTCCCAAATAATCCTCTAACCAGCTTTTTCCACCTAAAATATATATGGGATACAAAGGAGTTGATGAAGCTAGAACCTGCGAAAGCAATATCACATGAACTCAAACCGATAGAGAAAATTAATCATACTATATTAGTGAAAAATTCAATGTAAAATGAACTTCAAGTAGCTTAAAGGGTTTATTTTAGCCAAAAAAACAGCAGCAGAAGAAGCTGGAATAAATGATAAGTGCAAATCAAGTACGGCAGAGCATAAGGTAATAAACAAAAATAAAAATAAGAATAAAAAAATAAAATAAAAACCACAATGAAATTACTGATCTTTCAGTAACACGATAAAAGAATTGCTAGAAGAAAGTGACAACATTCAATAACATACCATGAAAGCTGCGATGGAGTATAAGATTGTTATCACTAACAAAAACCAACCATCCGCTGTCAGCTAACAGATATTACAGGAAAAAAAAAGGGACAGGGACTTTGAACAAAGTAAAACATGAATAGTTCAAGGAGAAGACTTCAACTTTCTTGAGCTTTATTGCAGTGAAATACAAACGTTTTACAGGATGCATTCGTACACAATAACCTGTCAATAGATACATGCACATAGGCGTTCATATACACCCCTTTGAAGCAAAAGTAATTTCATCAGCCATTCAGACAAAGCTTTCGACTGTTGAAGAAAACAAGTGTCAAGAAAGAGGAGTTCTAGTTCAAGGACGCAAGTACCTCCAAAAGAGAAGCCACAAACTGCATCTGTGTTTCTTCATCAATTGTCACAAAAAGAGGGACGTGTACGAAAAGAGACTTGATCCCGTTTTGCTCAGCAAACCGGAGAGAATGATAGTAGACATAGTTACACACAAAGCGACCGGCATCATCCGAAGGAATCACGCCATATCCCATCTTTGCCAAAGCCTTAGAAATATCATTCACAGGAAGCGATGTCTGTGCAAACAGAGAACCAATATAAAATTTAAGACCATGTCATACTGTCTTTGTATTGCATTCTCAAATAACCCTCGACAATCCATAGAGGGCAGGATATTTATAGATATAAGTTTAATCTAATTTAAGTTGTAAGAAATTAGGGAATTTAGTTCTTAAAAAAAATACTATTCTAATAAAGTTCTAAACAATTCTTCAGTGAGAGAACCACTCGTCCATTACGGTGCATGACTTAGCTATCAAGAACTTCCTTCTATGTTTGTGATACTGTTAGTGAGGAGTAAGAATCACAGAAAAATGTGTGGAAAAAGAAGCGTAAATAATGGCAATTCAGCAGAATGAACTGAGAAGGGACAACCAACAATAATAACCAAAGCTTTATGCAATTCAAATAGATAAGCATGAACTTTCACAGCAGCTAAACGGAACTCTCATATCCTGGAGCCTTGGTATGATGCATATTTGAACTCCTTAAAGATCAACAGGAGTCCAAGACATCTACTCATTACATACCAAACACCTAGTACAAGCTTTTGCATGTCACATCGCCTAGTACAAGCTTTTGCATGTCACATCACCTAGCATCCCCCCATGTGAATGTCCATTGCCAACCAATTCCATGCTCCCTCCCTGCGCACTGTATTTCAATATGGAAAAAGGTAATTCCCAGTTATTTATGGAGACTGCACCTAGAATTATGCATAAGCATAATATTAATTTACAAGTGACCTTGAGGCTTCCCAGTTCATCAGGAATTTTGGAAAGGACCGAAAGCCAGTGTGTTTTCCATGTTTGAGCATCATCAAAAAGAAGGGAAATGATTGCCTTTTGGTTTTAAATTGGATCATTTTTATGTCCCCTTTGTGAACACCTTTCAATTATAATTTTATAATCAAATATGCCCCTGCAAGTTGAGGGCTCTTTCATGGACCAAAAACTGGACTTGTAGGGCATTATTATTATTATTATTATTTTGAATCTGCTTTAGAAATTCATGTTAGAAAAATTTGGACCTGGGTTGCTTTAATACCATGTCTACTCTCTGCCACGATACCAAAACTACTAAGTTATGGTGACGTTTGAGGGCTATAATTTTATACTCTCATGCTTCATTTCGTATATGCGGAAATGGGTGAGAATGAGATGTCAATTCCCACTTCTCATTCCTTCATACCAAACACTACCGCCTCGTTTGGTACGCGGGTATGAGTGAGAATGAAATGTAATTCCAACTCTTTATTCATGCGTACCAAACACGATATATTTTTAGACACTAGAATTGATATTCTCACTTCTTATCAATTCCTACTTTATATGAGAATTTTTATTCCCAACCATTTGACAAGGAATTGATATTCTCACTTAAGTGGGAATAAAAATAAACAAATATTTTCTGATTATACCCTCCTTAAAAGATATGAAGATATATAAATTCCCATATGAAAAATTATTTCTATAGAAATAATATCATTAGCTGCTCGTACAAATATATAAATAGATGTAAAATATTAAAAATACTATTCTTTGTTCGACTTTACTCTAGTTCCATTACGTCTACAGTAGAAAAAAATCTCATCTTCGTCTCTATGCGACTCGATTAGGTAATCATTATTTCTTTTTAAAATATGTATGTGTGGCTAATCTTTATAGCAATTTTTTATCATTTGGCGACTCGCTTGCGTAATCTATTAGCAATTAGGTTAGTAAATATTTGATCGTTGGATGTGTGATTTGAAGTTCCATTGAAGCATATGTGCCTAATCTTTTCAGTAATTTTTTTCAAAGCACTCACAACAAGAAATAATGTGCTTAATTGATGAGATTGGAACTTTATATTTTGATTAGAGATTAACATGTTTTCTATTCCTTCAAACTTTCTAGGTTAACATATTTTCTACTCCTAATCAATTGTTTGAAAGTTAAAGGTGCATTTGAAATTTCATAAAAGTTTTATATACAGACTAAAAGTTAACATGTTTTTCTAATCCTTCAAAATTTAGTGTTTTCTTCATACACATGGAATTCAGTCATAAATCATGCAACATGCATATGGAATTCAGTCTATTGTATACGTTTGTGCATAGTGATGTTAGTAGCATTAGCTGCTTGTACACGTAGTAGACATGTACCATTAGAAGTTAGAAATGTGGAATTATAATTATTTATAATCAAAAATAGTTTCTATGAAAATTATTTTTTAATTAGTAAACCAAAAGTCCAAAATTGTTGCTGAGGCGGTGTACCAAAATATAACTATAAACTAAAAAAATATTTTTATAAGAAAAAATATCATTTCTATAAAACTTATTTTTCTAAAAAAATAAATTATTTAGTCATTTTTAAAATATTTTTATGTTTTCAAAATTCCGTGTTCTTGTAAGGGCATTACTAGAAAACTAAATTTTATTCTCACTTGTGAACAAATGATACCAAACATGAGAATGTGAATAAAATTGTCATTCCCATTTCATTCTCTAAACGCGGCCAAACATAAGAATGAGAATGCACATTTCATTCTCATATCTATTCCATTCCATTCCTACTTTCTTTCCATTCTCACTTGACTCCAATCACGCGTACCAAACGAGGCGTACGTGTATTTCGAAGCTAAAATTCACATTTCCACTCCTCATCAACTCCCACTTTATATGGGAGTCAAAAAAACATAACTTCCAAATATGCTCATTCTCACTAAGTTCTCTAATTGCACCCAAATGTGAGAACAAAAATGAGCATTCCATTCCCACATTAATCTCATGTCATTCCTTGTTTCATTTCATTCTCACTCCACTCGATTCCTGCATAGCAAACGAGACGTCACAGAACATCATCAGAAAGAAGGAAGACTATAGGTATTTGGCTTTAACTTGACACTTTTCGTGAAAAGCTTTCAAGTATTACTTCGTCTCTGAACCCTTCTATAAATTCCATCACCTTTCGTAAGATAGGATTGCGTCACCGGAGAACCTTTGACAGATGAAGGGAAATTAAACTAACTTCAAATTAACGAGCGCATAGACCTTCAGATATAGTAGAAGCATTTGTTTTGTACCAGAAAGGTGACAAGTTTTGAGGGATACCTTCAACCAACACAGTGAAAGGAACCTTCTTCTATACTTAAGAGTAAGGGATCGGCCTATTCAGATTATTCATTAAAAAACTGAATGATGTCATAATGAGATAAGAATACCTTTTACTCCTCAAAGTAAGGAATTACTGTCATACTGAAATCTCAAACAGTAGTCCAGTGATAGTATTAAGTAGTGACAAATGGAACAGAGGGATTCACTAGGTCAATGACCAAAAATAATTTATAGAGAATACTATCAGGTTTGAGATCTCGGATCACAGTCCAGATTTGCCTTGTAAATATCAATATTCCGATTGACAGATGTTTTTGCATTAGAATCATTATGTATAGGCGGTTCGGAAAATTGAAATCAATTTTTTAAATTTAAAAAAATGGAAACGTTTAGCTTTTTAGCAATTTGGAAGATTGGATTAAATATCTTTAAGTTGTATAACCAATAGTTGATGAAGAAAATTTCTAAAGATATTATATGAATTCTTAATCTTATTGACATGATTAACAAAGAAGGCAACATTTTAACATATTAATTTTCATATTTTTCTTCTTAATGAAAGAATGGACTTGCTTAGTGATATAATAATATCAAAGGAGATAAGGTATATAATCGATTTGATCCAGTATAACAATTCAGTTAGAATAAAATTATGGATTAATATCAATATAATAAAAGGTTCACTTACGGAAAGACATAACAGAATATCACCTTGTTTATTATATGGGATCAGACAAAAAATTATACAGAGAGAACAATCCAACAGGTCAACTCTAATTATTCATTCTTTTATGATTGATTAAATTTCTATTATGAATAAAATAAAATATTTTAAAGTTTGACAGGTCGGTGTCCTCTTTGAAATTTTTTATCGCCAAACAGCGAATCTTCTTAACATACATAAAATAAGTCAGAATAATTACAAGCTTACATTCATTGACTTTTTTAAACTTTTGTCTAAGACACTACTGACTAAACATCTTATGTCTTCCCTGCATTTGTTGTTACTATCTAATGTTAGAGATATTTCATGATTTTGTTAAATCAAATCGGCATAGTTAAAACCATGTGATATCGCCAATACTTATCGCTGATACTTGAAACCCTGAAATTTACTGAAGAATGGATTGAGAAAGTTAAACACCAAGAGTGTTGAAATATCTATGTACAATTCTATGATGAAAATCATTTAACCGAAGGTTTTATACAATTCTATGACGCAAATGGTGAAAATGAAGGTTTTGCATAAATTGACCCTAAGCAAAAGCAACGTGGTAAAATAAATTTATAACTCCAGACCATTAGTCTCATGAAAATATGTAGCCATGGAAGAACAAACTAGTCTTTTCTTTTCCTTTTGACCATGTAAAAAGATAATATATTAATAACATTGAAAAATGTGTTTACATTGCCACTCTTTTTTACATGTTTTAATGCAATGATCCAATATATGTAAAAGTTTGCACTCTTTTTTAAATGTTTTAATGCAATGATCCAATATATGTAAAAGTTTGCACTTTGTATATAACAGATCTGAAGCAATATATTTTATGAATGGCTTGATTTAATGAAGAGAAAATCTCCATTCCTTCTACATGGGTGCATCTATTCAGTGCTCAGTATAACAATGAATAGTGCTAGCTGATTGTAGACGGTCCTGAATGTATTTAAAAGAGATATGTAGAGTATTGGAGCCTCATGGTTCTCTTCTCTCTAATATGAACCTTCTAGGCCTTGACAGTCCTCTCTCAACTACAGAAACAAATTTGTCTATACTATATCTATGGCAAATAAACATAAAGGCCCATCTAAGCTATCTTTTCATCAATACATCCATTCTTGGGGGTTCAATGGTGTAAATTTATTATTCCAGAATAAAAGCTTTGCTCAACAGCTATAGGCATAGGAAAGTTTTGTTTCTAGGAATATTTACATAAACAAATACTATACCAATATACTAATGCCATCTTGTGGTACCGGTTTTCATTTTGACCCCTTAATCACATTCATGGTTCTCATCAACAGACTGCATACAAGTTCATCAGCAATCTTGAGAGAGAAACATTCAAAATATTATGTTAGAAGTATGTATGTATATATGTATGTATGTATATATGTATGTATGTATATGTATAAGCACGCAATAGTGGAAAGGTTACATGTAACCTATGGACTCTAGTAGAGAAAGTGTCACAAGAACATCAGACAAAACTTGTGGAGATCAAAAATAGCAAAGTACCTCTCTAGTTCTGGTAATACCTCCATCAGCAGGGATGATTGGGACTCTCTGCAGAAAAAAAACAATTAGAAACAGGCTGTAAATGAACTAGATTAGAAAGATTTGAGGAAGACAACTTACTTGAGGTTTCCATCCAAGTTCATCCGGACATCGAAAAGTAGCTTCATTAACTGCTTGATTCTCAAGAGCAAACCGTGCTGCACCACTATTGACTCCAAAGTGAAGCTGGTGTACAATAAATCAATACAGGAAAACAAAGTTTATAAAATAAATCAGAACAAACGCATGCACAGTAAACATCATCTATGTAAAACATAGAAAGTGCAAAGATTAAGCATAACTATCAAAATGTTTGTAAGATGCATAAATGTGTATGATGCCACTGATATCCTAACACCATCTGATTATATTCCACTATTAATGTCATTCACAAAGTAAATTAGAATACCTTATGCTGCAAGTTTAACAAAGGAATCATATATCGGAGAACTAAACAAGAAATTCAGGTTTGCCGTAAACAATGACTTAATGGGAGCCGATATAGGTCATGGTGTGATCCATAATGCTTGACCATGTCAAGAGAGAATCTTCAAGGTATGGACACAAGGTGGGGGTAGAATGTTGGAACTTGTGTTGACTTCTTGTTTGCACTTCGAGATGAACCTGATTTCCTATATCAAGCATTAATTCTTTTTTTCCCTCCTCCTTTTTTTTACAAACCATCCCTAATCTACAAAACATCGATACCAATAGCTTTAATTTGCAATGACCAAAGAAGTGGAGTCTCTTCATAAAGACAAGACATGAGAATTAGCGAAACCCATACCTTTGCTCAAGTTCAAGCATTGTCTCGAATTGCTTGGAGTTGAACATTCATGGGTTAAACTCGTTAAGGTTTTGTGGAGAGAGAACAAGAATGAAGAGAAGATTTGTCATGTTCAAGTCAAGGTGGAGATTTGTTGAATGACTTGAATATGAAGAATCAAAATCAAATTTGAATTCTTTTCCTTCACATTGACCTTGTGTGAATTCACATTTAATCCAATTGTTTCACCAACCTATTAGCCCAACTATTACGCCTAATCATTTGTCTACTTCGCATTGGGACGAGTTCATTATAAAAGGAGGACTAGGATAATAATGAAGAGTGTGAAGGAGAAAGTGCAAATGAATAAGAAGAAGAGATGGATTCTTCATCATTGGGTATTTTTGTGTTGGGCTTGGCTGACTGATATTATAGAGTGATATCTTTGTTGTAATCTCCTTTTTTTTATTAGTGAATATTGCTATTTTCACCCGTAGACATGGGTTAAGATACGGATAGAACCACAGTAATCCTTCCAATTGCTCCAACAAACTCTTAGTCGAAATACACAAATAAGTTATTGTAATAATTGGACTAATAATTTGGTGAAATAGTTAGGTTAAATGTGAATTCATACAAGGTAAATGTGGAAGTGAAATAGTTTGGTCAAATGTGAATCACACAAGGTAAATATCAAAGAGAAGAATGCAAAATTTATTTTGATTCATCATATTCAAGTGATTCAACAAATCCCCACCTTGACTTGAATATAACAAATATTTTCTTCATCCTTGTTAACTCTCCACAAACCCTGATGGGTTTACCGCCTCGCCTCGTTGAACTCCAAGGAATTCAAAGAAACGCTCAAGCTTTCGTAAATGTACGGGCTTCACTAAAGCCGATGTTTTTTTCCTTGTGAAAAGACTTCACTTCAGTCATTCCAAATTCCAACATTTAACTCTACAGTTTTTTTGGTTAAATCAAACCACACGTAAATTGAATGGATGAGAGATATTCCTACCACAATGGCTTCAATTTGCATGAGCTTGTATTAAGAACCAATAAGTTGGACTTCTATATGCAAGAGCTCGTATTTACAGAAATAGGTAGGAAATATGTGTTGATTTTGCTAGGACTCTCACAATACTAATAACTCATCACCCATTTATAAAGGGTTTCACCTTCTTGCAATGGGATACTAAGGTTGCTCAACCTTCAGTGGAGACTTATCGTATAGCGTTCTACCTTATATTTAAACATGTTTTCACATTTCAAGGCTTGTTTAATGAAATATGGATCTACCATTGCTTCAACTTTGAAACATAACATATGCAAGGAAAACTTCTCTGCGCATTTAGCAACTTATTTGCCCAACCTTAAGTGGAGCTCCCAATGGTTTTTTACCTCATATCTAAGCCTATTTTCACTTTCCAAGGCTTGTTTGATGAAAATGGATCTACCATCGCTCCAACTTTGAAGCATAACTTACACAAGGAGAACTTCTCTGCACCCCTAACCTTAGATTACAAAAGGTTTGGAAATAAAAATAGGCCTATCTGATATGTAAACCTTGGAAAAGAACATAGGCAAAGTTCAACGAGTGTAAGCGACCAAAAGGGTCCTGCAGGTCCATTCAGATCTGAAAGGATTTTATCAGGTGTTTTCTCAGCAAAATCTGCCTCATCATGTACTTCTGGATTCTAAACAAATCTCAGCTCTGGTAGGGGCTCATATCCTTTTCAGAGGAAAAAGTGTTGCAATACTTCGCTTATCTCAAACAACAGAATAGAAAATCCATTTTCACATTGTTTTTGAAGGTACTGAGCCCCCCTACCCCTACCCCTACCCACCCACTCAAAAGAAAGAGAAAATAATAATAAAAGTCAACTATTTGACTAAAAATGGAGTAACGGATCATTCTACGAAATAAAGGTTTCAAAAACATGAGAATTGAGAATAATCTCACATATACTCTATGACCTAATTCATTAAAAAACAGAATAAAGGGGGGGGGGGGGGGGGAAAATAAACCCTGGTGCTGCAAAACTAAGATATATTTAGCAACATTCAATGACACTGAATCTCATATTTGTTTAGCCTTTGTTATTCTATAAAGAACTTAGGATCCAGCAACATAACAAATTATCCAAGTTTGCATGTGACGAATCATATCAGATTGTTAAAATAGATATCTCTACATCATTATCAATTCTCACACAAAACACCGATGGCTGCAAAATTAAAAGCTATAATAGCCAAAACACGCACATAAAATAAGACAAAAACTTGCTGTGAGAGGATTACTTTTCGGTATCAACTTGATCTACCTTTAAAAATGCCATAACATAATTCTTAATGCACAATACATTCGAAGAGTAGGTGAGCAACTGACCCAAATTACTTGTCTTCCAGCATTTGAAGGTTCCTCATCCAACTTAGCAACAGCAGACTCCAATATTTTGTAAAGTTGAGCAAGTGCTCCTTGTCCTGCAGTCTCAAGAACAGTACAACTACCAAGAACAAGGCCTTTTGGTGGTCCTTTCTTCTTCATGTATTCTTTCAGATTACTTACGATTGTTTCAGTCGGGTTTTCTGAGACTCCATGAAATTTCTTAAACCCGGTAACATGAACTGTTACACCTGAAGGACCCTCCGAACCCATTTACCAATAATCTAATTCTTTATTTGTTCCTCGATTAGGTATAGTCTGATTCTGTAGCAACCTAATTGAGCTTAGTTTCCTATTACCTGCCTTCAGAAAAGCAGACAATAGAAGAAGCAAATTTTGAGTATAACAGGGGTAGAATATCGTCAGACAATTACTCAAAAAGAGCTATCAATTGGAAACTCTGCCCAAAGCCTTATACCAGTCAGAAATATAAGAAATAAATATTATATGCATTAACAGTACTGGTTTGCCAACTAATTATTAGTAAACGAACAATCTGATCACTTATTATAAAAAATATCAATAAAAAAACAAAATTAAATTAGTTTATCGAATCACAGAGGGGAATAAAGTAAAGAAGATACATGGCTTCAAATTAGAAGAATTTTAAGAAGTATGCCATTTATGGTAAGGCAACGCAAATCCACGTTCGGAAACAACACAATAACTGCGAAACCTATATCCGTCGAAAACCAAAGAGCGGCACAGCTACAAGCCAGCGACCTCCTGAATAAAATTCATTAATAACAAACAACATGCCCAATACAAAATTTGAGAGTAATAATTACGTAGATCAAATTACATAGACAGCAAGCAAACAGGTTCCGATTGATCACTTTATTGAAGCCGAGAATAAAAATGGGTTCGAAAAAACAAATTACTTCGAACCAAATTCCGCAATAGAATCCACAATCTATCTATACTTTGCTTCAAAAGATTCCAGCTTGCCACACAAAAATTGAAAATAGTCAGAGGCTCATGAATCAAATTTAACATTATCACCAAACTTCTGACCTTGTATTCAAAACACCCAATCAAGGATCAAATCAACAAAAACCCAGAAAAATTAACCGATCAAAAACACCAAAACCAAAGATAAATCCCAAAAGCTCTCACCTTTCGCCCCTCTACACAAAGAAAAGAAATGGGTATCGGCGATGATCGGAGGATAATACTAAAGGAACTCAAAATGGGTGCGAGAAGTAGTGAAGGGTCTCAATTAAATGAGCCTAGGGATTGTAAATTAGAGATATATTTGTTAAAGAGACAAAAAAGGGAAGAAAACAAACACACCTCGCTTTTACTCGTTCTCCGTCTTTGTTAGGTCTTATTTAAATTACTTTTATACTTCAAATTCAACAATTATTAGTTGGTTTATGGGATTTTAATAAGGACTTTGTTTATAAATTTGCGTACGTTCTATGATTCACGGGGTCATGGACTTTGCGGGTCGTGCTTATCTCAAGTCCCCGCATAGAGACTTGAATGCGCCACTCGTTTCTTTTCAATGATTAAGCCAATCAAACGAACTCTATTCTCACTGGTGTTCACATCATCATTATAGCCATTTGAAACTTGGAACAATCATATTGCTTTAATGACGTTTGTTGTAGAAGAAAGCAAAGGAACACGATTTACCTAGGAAGGATGCTATTTACATTGGACTATTAAGGGTTGATTGGTTAGTAATAAGTCACAAATGTTGATTTACCTAGGAAGGAGAGCACTAATGACTCGTGTTATTGGATTTATGTGACGTCACTGTTTTCACACATGGCTGCAGTCTAAGGTGAACCCAGAAATATCAAACATGATATGCACTCACACCGTGCAACACCAAGTTTTACTAATAACAGCAATATCCTCTAGTGGAAACAAAAATAAAGTGCAGGTACAAACTGACAATAGAAGAAAATAACTGTACCTGGCATGATATAGGAAAGAGAGTCTCATAAATAAATTATGTCTCAGATAACAAGTCTGGGATACATTTGACATTCTGAAATATATAAATGTATCACGACATAAATCAACTAAGAATGTATCAAGGCTCACAGCCTTTATAAAGTGAGAAATAAAGAAAAACTCTAATAACTGAATATAGAGTCAGCCTAATGTGGAGTCTCCTCTACTAGCTCATATGACGGCGACTATGCATGAACTCCGTCATTATGCGATTCTCCGATGCTCTAAATCGCCTGAAAGGAAAAAAAAAAGAGCAACAACAAAAGTGTCAAAACGCTAAAGCAATATCACTTCCATCCGTCCCCAGGAGAAAGGACTACTATATGTAATGAATACTCTATCTATTAAGTATAGTCTACCTAGGAATCCTTTTCCCCGAAACTAATGAATAAAACCTCAATAATGACTGAAGTAGAAGTATGTAGGCATAACATCATACTCAACATCAGAGTAAAAGATATGTCTCGTGTTCTAGCAAGGTGAGTCTCTCAGATGTAAAGCTACTCAAGAAATGAGTTATATCACATTTAGTGTCCGCCAAACACATTGGCATGACAACAATTAAGCATTTCAACCTCTGCGTATAACTATGCGAAAATGAAGATATTGGTTCCTTTGCCTCTGCGCACACTCGTGGGAATACAATGACATAGGTTCCTCAACCTCTGCACACTCTAGTGCTGATACGATAACTTAGGTTCACCGACCCCAGCGCACTCTAGTGCAGATACTATAACATTGGTTCACCAACCTCAGCGCACTCTGGTGCGGATACAATAACATAGGTCCACCAACCTTAGCGCACTCTAGTACGGATACAATAATACAGGTTCACCAACCTCAACACACGCTCGTGCGAATACGACGTCAAGGGAAAAGTGTACTTGAAACCATACTTAACCAAAATCCCCCTCTAGGGTACCAACACGTGTACTACGACACTGTTCATGAATAATTATGACCACATATGTACTATCATGCAACTCGAGCCTCGAGCTCGCATTTCAAATCAAAACAACACAATATTAGGAAGATCAGCCTTAGACACTGAGTCTACTCAGACTCTGTAAAACATGAATCAATATTAGTAGTCGACTACACTGTACATTAGTCGACTACTCTGTAATCAGATAGTTTTCGTAGAACAAACTCGATATTAGTAGTCAACTACTACTCTTAGTAGTCGACTACTAAGCAGAAACATGCACACACCCGTGTACATACAACACTTAGCAATCGTCACGTGTTTATCATGCTTTAATACAGTACAAAGCAAGTCATAATAAAACAAAAAAATCATCTCCATGATTATATAAACCCTTAATTCAACTAATTAGGTTTAATCTTCTCACTAGTCAAGAAATTGACATAACCCTAGTTATCGATTAAATTAGCGTGAACATGCTTGCATATTAAGCTTGAAACTTATATAATTTCATTTATTCACATTTACAGAACCAAAATACCCCAAACCTAGGGTTTAATCAGACTTAATTAACATGTAAGCTCTTTACATCATAAGGTTAGGGTTTTGAGCATGATTAACACATAGTAAACAAGATACAAACGAAGATCTACACTCCTTTAATGATCATGATCACGTTTCTATTATAAACAGTAAGCAAAACATGTAGATCTAACATCAGGTTAAGGTTTTATATCAAACATCCTCTTTTAATCATGTTAAACAGTTAGATCTAAGCATCAAAATATCCATATTACTTAATAAACCCAAGACCTACACTATGGGTAAGGTTTGGATGCAGGAGATCTTCCCTCAATCACGGTGTTGATCTCCTGAACATGTGTGCAAACTCATTTTCTCAGCTACAACCCTCGATCTCTCCCTCTGCTCGATGTCACGTCTCGAAACGCCTCGAGGAACTCAAAAACCGACTCTAGGGTTTATGGGAAAGGAGGTGGCTATAAACTCTAGTGAAATCTTTCAAGAATTAGGGCTTTTACGTGTTTAAAAACTAAAGATATCAATTGGGTTCAAAAACAACACTAATCTGACCCGAAAACTAAAACCTAGCACGTTCAGGAATTCCCGATAGTCAACTACTTCTGCTTAGTAGTCGACTACATTGTAATATATAAGATTCTGCCAATTGATTACGGGCTCTTAGTAGTCGACTACACTGTACATTAGTCAACTACTAAGGGTCTATGCAAGCTGATTCATTGTCATATTCGGGAATATATAGCCGAATTGATCTCAAATCAATTCGTAATGTACATAAACATTAAAATATTCTTTTATCATAGTATAACATATTAAATATTATTTATCGTATAATATTCAAATTTGTGGGGTTTTATAATTTACAAGTGGGTCTCTCTGGTGAGGTAAATTACAAATTGGTACTTTTTTAACCACCTTAATTGGTTTGGTATTAAAAGTTTTCTTTTGATTTTTTGTTATTAAAAGTAAGTCAAATGTGTAATTAGATAAAAAAAACTTAGTGACTGTAGGCTGTCTAAAAATCACAATGGATAGCTGATCCCTATCAAGCTCCGACAATGGAAGTCACAATCAGACGACTTTCTAATCATTGTATTCACAATTCTACAATCGCTACAAACACGGCCTCATTTCTGAGATGATTGATCTTGATGGTTATGACAACAACATGACTAATATTATATTAGCAACTATTAGAGATGCTGATGAGCAGTGTAATGATTTCAGAAATAAAAGGTTGGACGTAGTTGGTGAGTTGCTTGGTAGAGAGCTGTGGGCAAATATTCATCTAAAAACACTATGGATGTTGATTCCCGTCAAGTTCCAACAACGAAAGCTACAATCAAATAGCTTTCGCGCTGACAATCGAAAGCTGCAAATGGAGGACTTTTCACATAGATCGAGAAGAGTTACAATTCAACGACACTTCCGACAACTGATGAAAACTCTATTCACCAGTCTTCATATTCTGCAGTGAAAGTTATAATCTGACGACTTTCACACTCCACAACAGCTAAAGACAGGATTACTGAACAACGGTCCTTGCAACGCTTTACAGAAGAAGTTACAAGTCAACTAGCTCCTTCTAAAACGCGGATGTCATCCCCGCGTTATAATTCTGGAAGTGCAGGCGACCCCCGCGTTTCCAAGCACAAGCTAAACGTGAGCGACCCTCGCGTTCGTAGGGGTTCAACCAACACCGACCCCCGCGTTCCCTCATCAATGTTCAGCCAACACCCAACCTCGCGTCTCAATTCTAAGAGGCGACGTTGGGTTTTGAACGCCAGATTGGGCATTTGACTCGTTCAAATACGAGTCGAACGGTTTTAGAACTGTTTTCCCCACGATCTGAGGAAATCACGCCCACTCAGGAGCGGATTTAGAGGGCAGTTACAACCTCTGACCCCCCTATAAAAACTCAACAAACTTAACTGAGTTAGGGGCTAGCTTTTTGGAACGAAAGAGTTGGCAGCAGGTTGGATTTTCAGGATCTCAACCACTCAGGTTTTGTGATTCAACAGCAGCAGCAGTAAAATCCTTGGAGATAGGATTTTTGAATCAAATTCAGAAGATCAAATCTGAGAGGATTCTTCAACAACAGAATATCAGCTTGGTCATTAACCGAATTTTCGGTTCTAACAACTCTATTAACAGAGTTCTAACTTTAAACTCATTCAGAGTTAAACATCAAACTTTCCACAGAAGTTCATCGTTCCCATGAGATAGAAGACGGTCGGATCGTCAACGGAGAGCAAATTCGACGCGAGCAATCGAAGGAGGCATTCCATCGCTACCGAGAAGAACCCAGTTTTAAACAAAGGAGAGAATCAAATTCGTTTTCTTCTCTTTTGTAATCAAATTGTAATCAGAATCAAAGGAATACAAGTCAATTTTCTTTGTTCTCTTCTTTGCAATTTTTCCAACAAACAGTGACAAAATCGCATATGACCTCACATGACTTAATTTTAGAGTTATTAGAAAGCTGATGTGACTTTCTTTAATTTGTGTGCAAGGATTTAGATGACATGACATTTATACAATTGTAGAATTTTGACTTCTCATATATTTTTAAAGATTTAGATGGTTAGTAGGATGATTATTAGTATTTAACTGGATGAAGACAAAGTTTTTTACAGTAATATTTAAAATTTATAAAAAAATTCCCAAATTTTCACTAATGGCAAAGTAAAAAAACACCTAATTGTGCAATTAATGGACTTTTTAATAGCAAAAAATTCGTCGGAGAACTTTCAATGCCAAACAAGTTAAGAAAGATTACAAAAATTGCCAATTTAATGATTTAGTCTTTTCTAGTGTGATCTTTAAGGACCATGCTTAGGTTATATTTATGCTC